GACCCGCCGCCGGGGGCGCTGAGGCCCCGGACCGTGCGCCTCGGCCACGCGCGGGAAAGGTCATTTGCGGAGACAAAACGCGCAGACACCTGGACAGATGCACAAGGACGTTTTGATGCTCTCGCTTCTTCTCTTTCCTCCAGACTCGGCCAGCTGGCGTCAGACTGCTTGGACTGCGTTTTAACTGTCTGGTGTCAAGCGATTAGGATTTTCACTGTGTGTAAATATCACTGCCAATATGCTTCTTTTTAAGTAATTGCCTTTATGCATGTGTATGTCTGTCTGCCTGTGTGTATGCGCACCTGCATGCAAATGCCCGAACGGGACAGAAGAGGGCGTCGGACTCGAGTGGGATTGCAGGTGGTTGTGAGTTGCAATGTGGGACCCCTGACTATCCGACAGAACAGCCAGTATGTCTTAGGTCCTGGGCCTTACCCCCAGACACCTAATATGTACTTTAATGGTGTGTACTGTTCCAAATATGAGAAAGCCAATCTATGGCTACACGTTTAGTTTTTTGTAAAGACAACATGGCATTTAAATCCATTTGATGGTGCTAAAGACGTTTTTAAACTTCTTGTAATCCACAATCCCAAAACACCAATAACATCTGGGTATGACTGTTTTTGTTTTCCCATGCACGTAGCCATAAATTCAATTACAGAAATATGTATGTTCATATGCATATGTACAAATAAATCTTAAAACTACTTCGGGCAGTGGTGGCACACACCTTTAATCTCAGCACTTGGGAGATAGAGGCAGGCAGATTTCTGTGAATTTGAGGCCAGCCTGGTTTACTGAGCAAGTTCCAGGACAGGCTCCAAAGCTACACAGAGAAACCCGGTCTCAAAAAAACAAAAATGAAACAAACAAAATTCCTGCAGCATAAAAGTGATGAGCCCTTAAGATAGTGTGGGCATTGCAGTGTTTACCTGTTTGTTTATTTCTGAGCAGAGTCTCTATGCAGCCTTGGCTGGCTTGGAACTCTGTGCAGGCCAGGTTGGTCTCGAACTCATGGAGATTCACCTGCCTTTGCCTCCTCAATGCTGGGACTAAAAGTGTGTTTCACCATACCAGACAATCCAAGAAACATAAGAGCGGGGAGATCTACAAAAACAAAAACAAACAAACAAACAAAAACAAACAAGGCAAAGACTGGTAAAAATAAAATAAAAAAATAAAGTCCAAACAAAGCAAAATGAGACAAAAATTCTACAAAAATACCATTGAGTTCATTTTGTGTTAGTCAACTACTCGTGGGTGTGGGGTTTGTGTGGGAGTGTGGTTGCTATACCCAGTGATACTCCACTGAAGAAAACTAATTTTCCCTTTGCCAGTTGGTATCAATTGCAGATAGCTTCTTGGTTGGCATGAGACCTGTGTCCACTTCCCCCTCTCAGTGCTGAGACCTGGTCTGGTTTGAATTTGTGCAGACCTTGTGCATACGACTATAGGCTCTGTGAGTTCATATGTGCATTAGTCCTGTTGTGTCTGGAAGACACTGTTTCCTTGGAATCACCTATCACCTCTGGCTCTTAAAATCATTTCACCTCATCTTCAGCATAGATCCCTGAGCATTTGGGAAGACATGATGTGTGAAGTTACCATGCTTTTAAAAGTCTTGACGATTGCCAAGCAGTGGTGGTGCACGCCTTTAATCCCAGCACTTGGGAGGCAGAGGCAGGCAGATCTATGTGAGTTTGAGGCCAGCCTGGTCTACAAAGCTACACAGAGAAACTCTGTCTCAGGAAAAAAAAAAAAAAAAAAAGTCTTGAAGATCAGCATCTCAAAATGGCAGGCTGAGGAGCTGGGGCTACATGAAACAAAGAGAACCAAGGACAGTGTCCTGGGATAGTCCAGGTTAAGGGCTCTAGAAATTACCAACACACTCATGAATAGCTGATAAAGACAAAGTCAGACATCAGGTCAGTGTGGTGTTCTGCAAGGCCAGGGAAGACAGTTACACAGTGTAACTGTGTGTTCTTTTGATACACATTTCTCATTCCATGTGTATATTGGATCCTGAGATTCTCAGCCTTTGTCCATATTTCTCACTCTGGTCTTTTCCCCTCTCTCTGTGTCTGAAAGGATCAAATTTAGGGCCTCTCGAATGCCAATCACATGCCCTTCCCCCATCCATTATTTCCCTGATGGTGGCACATACTTTAATCCCAGCACTCAGGAGACAGAGGCAGGCGGATCTCTATGACTTTGAGGCCAGTATGGTCTACAGAATGAGTTCCAGGACAGCCAGAGCTACCCAGTGAAACCCTCTCTCAAAAAATCAAAACTCAAATCTAAATAAAACAAAAACCCTCTACATATGCTCTGAACATAAATATAGTCTTTGATAAGTGTATTGCACCTTTTCCTTTCAGTTGCTTCTTGTGTCTTAGCTTGGAATATCCTTTCAACAGGAGACAATTTGTAATCTCCAAGTAGACAACTCTGGCTGTGTTTTGCTTTATTGCTTCTTGTTTTGTGTCTTATGTAGAGGCCTTTCTTACCCAAGATATAAAAACTATTCTTCTAAGCTAAGTATAGAGGCACATGCCTTTAATCCCAGCACCTGGGAGACAGAGGCAAGTGGATCTCTGAGAGTGAGTTCCAGGACAGCCAGGAGAAACCCTGTTTGGGAAAAACAAGCAAACAAAAGCTTTCTTCTAATCTCAAGGTTTAGAATAAAATATGAGAAACTTTCTGCCATAGGGGCTGGATCAATGTTTAGTTGTGGTGGCAAGATAAATGTGGAGCCATGTGCCAAGGACACCATCCTATGCATCTTCAGGGAAATGCCTACATTTTGGAGTTTTCCTACATTTGTACATACAGCCCCCTGCCTCCTCATATATATTGACTTATAATCAGTGGATGTCTGGTGACTGGGCTGTGGCGGGACCTTTCCCCCCATGTACCCTATGTTGTTGAATTTTTCAATTTTTCCTTCCTTCCTTTACTTTCCCTTCTTGGTTTTCTTTTGCAATGCTGAGGACTGAACCCAAGGTTTTACACATGCTAGGCAAGCATTCTACCTCTAAATGCCAACCCCTTTATTCTTAACTATTTAAGATAGAATCCAAGTTGCCCAGGCTGGCCTTGAACTTGTGCTCCTCCTTCCTCAGTGCCCACAGTACTTGAGGTTACAGATATGTACCACCATACTTAGCCGAAGATTTCTTTTATAAGAAGTATTACTGTTAGGGCTGGAGCAATGGCTCAGTGGGTAAGAACATTCATTCTTCCTAGGTTCAATTCCCAGCATCTACATATCAGCTAACAACTGTCTTTAACTAGTTCCCGGGGGTCCAACACCCTCTTCTGGTCTCTGTGGGCACTGCATGTGGTACACAGCCATACATGCACTCAAAACATCCATATATATAAAATAAAATTAAAAAAATAAAATATAGCCCGGCATGGTGGCGCATGCCTTTAATTCCAGCACTCAGGAGACAGAGGCGGGCGGATCTCTGTGAGTTTGAGGCCAGCCTGGTCTCCAGAGCGAGTGCCAAGATAGGCTCCAAAGCTACACAGAGAAACCCTGTCTTGAAAAACAAAACAAAACAAAAAATGGTGTAGTGATGCACGCCTTTAATCTCTGGCTGTTTTTTGCTTTATTGCTTCTTGTTTTGTGTCTTATTTGGGAGGCAGAAGCAGGTGCATCTCTGTGATTTGAAGGCCAGCCTGATGTATATAGTGAGTTCCAGGATAATCAGAGCTCCATAGTGAAACCTGTCTCAAAAAATAAAATAAAAAAATAAAATAAAAAAAACACATATGCATATTTGCATATTTACTTACACACATATTAAAAAGGAAAAGCGAATGGAAAACTTGCTGATGGGCATGAAAGGATGGGCAAGATGAGCATCACGGGTTTGAAACCTGTTCAGCAGCTCCAGGTAGCCTGGACCAACAGAAGAGCAGGTGGACTGTGACTTCCCTAATAACCCTAACAGGGGAAAGACGAAGCTTACAGAAGGAGATGGTGCTCCTAGAGCCCCACATAGATGGCAGGGGAAATATCATTTCAGAGAAGGTAAAATAACAGCTGTGTACTGTTACAGGATCAGATAGACCAGAAGTCTGAAAATGGCTATGCCAGAAGCATATGTATGCTTTCCTGTTGGGAATGGCTGTGTGCCATTCTGTGTGGCATCAAGGAGGTCCTGATAGGGAGTAGAGCAGATGATATTAGTGGGATGGAAGTCAGCTAGCTATGGGGGTGTCACTAAACTTCCAAAGCACCCAGACCTGAGTATCCCAAAAGGAATGTTCAATTTGCCTGTGTCCTCTCCGATAACAAAGCTTTATGATGTAGTTCATATACTGTAACTGTACAATTCATCCAAAGTATACAGCTTACAGCCACCATTACAACTCAACTTTAGAATGTTTTCTTCACCTTAAAAGAAGCTGAGGCAGCCGGGCATTGGTGGCGCATGCCTTTAATCCCAACACTTGAGTTCCAGGCCAGCCTGGGCTACAGAGCAAGTTCCAGGACAGCCAAGGCTACATAGAGAAACTCTGTCTCAAAAAACAAAAACAAAAAGGTGAGGAAACATCTCTCCACTTCAGGACCATAATCTAAATGTGATGGTTCATCTGTGTTATACATGAGTAATAATTTGACCTTATGTCTGATTTCTTTTTCTTTTAAAAATGGTATTTTGTTTATCTGTTCATCAGTTGATGGACATTTAGGTTACTTCTACCTTTTGGCTATGATTAATGCTGCTATAAACATTTGTTTGCAAAGTTTTGGATAGCCATGTTTTCATTACTCTTGGGTATAAACCTAGCATAGGACTGCTGGTCAATGTAATAACTCTACTTAGTCATGTGAGGAACTGCTATATCGAGAATGTATGCTTAAGGGCTGGGAATGTAGCTCAGTAGGAAGAGAGCTTGCCTAGCATTTTATCCTCAGGTCAGCTAAACCATGTATGTAGTACAAGCCTGTAATCCCAGTACTCAGGAGATAGAGGCAGGAAGATCAGAAATTCAAGATCGTCCTCAGCTACATAGTGAATCTGAGGTCATCCTGGGCTATATGTGGCCTTGTCTCAAAACAAAAAACAAACAAAAACCCAAACTGTATTTGTAACCACTTGAAAAATTATACATGTTCTTCTGAGTCTTTTAAAATATGGATTTTTTTTTTTCGAGACAGGGTTTCTGTGTGGCTTTGGAGGCTATCCTGGAACTAGCTCTTGTAGACCAGGCTGGTCTCGAACTCACATAGATCCGCCTGCCTCTGCCTCCCGAGTGCTGGGATTAAAGGCGTGCGCCACCAACGCCCGGCTAAATATGGATTTTTTTTTGGAGGATAAAAATGTGTAATGCTACCACTAGAAAAAAAATTGTCTTTTTTGTTGTTGTTGCTGGCCTTAAACTAGGTATTGTAGTTGAGGATGACTTTAAACTGAGGATGACTTTAAACTCCTGATTCTTCTGCCTCTACCTCCCAAGTGTTAGGATTACATGTGTGATCCACCTATAATCAAAGAATATTTTTTAGTTATTTTCCCATACATATTTTATTGCTGCTGGCTGGGTTTTGTTGTTTTTGTGGTTTGTTTTGTTTTGTTTGAGACAGGTCTGGCCAGCCTAGAACTCTGTGTAGACCAGGCTGGCCTTGAACTCACAGAGATCTGAGTGCTGGGGTTAAAGTCATATGCCACCACCTCTGGCCTTGTTTTTGTTTTTGGAGTTAGAGACTCAGTATGTAGTCCAAATTACCCTCACTCTTATAATTCTCCAGTCTTAGCCTCACAAGCCACAAATATTGCTTTTTGTTTGCTTGTTTAGATTTACTTTTTATGTGTATTGTCTTAGCCAATATTCTCTTGCTGTGAATTGACAACATGACCGTGGCAACTCTTACAAAGGAAAGCATTTAATTGGGACTTACTTGCAGTTTCAGAGGTTTAGTTCACTACTATTGAGCATGGAGGCATTTAGGCAGACATGATGCAGAAGTAGCTAAGAATTCTACTGGCAGCAGGAAGAGAGAGAGCCATTGGGCCTGACTTGGGCTTTTGAAACCTCAAAGCCCACTCCCAGTGACACATTCCTCCAACAAGGCCACACGTACTCCAACAAATAATGCCATTCCTAAGCATTCTGATATATGAGCCTAGTGGGGCCATCTTATTCAAACCACCACATGTATGAATGCTTTGATCACATGTATGTCTGCACCATGCCTAGCTATCTACAAGGGTCAGAAGAGGGCAGTGGATCTCCTGGAATGGGAGTTACAGACAGTTGTGAGCTGCCATGTAGATAATGGAAATCAAACCTGGGTTTTGTGGAAGATCAGCCAGTGCTCTTTAACTACTGAGCCATCTCTCCAGCCCCCATACACACAACCCAGGGCCACCAGCCCAGGAGTGGCATCACCCACAGCAGGCTGGGCCCTCCCAATCAATCATCAATCAAGAAAATGCCTACAGGCCAATTGGATGGAGGCATTTTCTTAATTGAGTTTCCTCTTCCCAGATGACTCTAGCTTGTGTCAAGTTGACAAAAAAAAAAAAACTATCACAACAATAGTTTTAATATATTACATTAGCTACAATATAAACTACAACTAAAAATATAAAAATAAAAATTACATATTTTACTGTATATATTTACTTACTTATAGTTTTTGCTCTGTTATGAACTGATTCCAGAAGCCAGGCCTAGGCAAAGGGCCTCCCATTGGGACACACCTCAAGCCCCGTTTTACTTTTTGTTGTTGGTAGTGTCAGGGTTTTGTTTTTTGTTTTTTGGGGTTTTTTTTTTTTTTTTTTTTTTTTTTTTTTTTGTTTTTTTTTTTTTTTTTGAGACAGGGTCTGACTCTATAGCCCAGGCTGGCCTCAAACTCTCAGTGATCCTCATTCTTTGATCCCCTCCCCCACCATAAGTTTACAGAAGAACACAACCAAGGCCAGCTTCCTTTTTTGCTTTTTGAATGTGGCTACTAGGAAATGTTTAACTCTGTTTGTGGCCGTCATCCATGTTTCCTTTGTATAGTATGAATCATCTTCAGGAGACATTACAAGAAAAGAGCATTCTCACAGTGTTTTTTCTGAAGATTTGGGGGGAGAGGCTGCCTTTTGTATCATTTGATACTCTCCTTTGTCTGAATTTTTGGTGGAACATAAATTTAACAGGTTACAAGCCATGAAAAAAGGTGTATGTGGGGGGGTGGGGGGTGGACCAATAGGGGAAACAAAAAAGTTTCTAAAAGGGCCCTAGAGACATGGCTCGGAGGTTAAGAACACTGGCTATTCTTCCAGAGGTCCCAGATTTGATTCCCAGCACCTACAAGGCAGCTCACAACCACAAGTTTCAGGGCATCTGAGCCCTTTTTCTGTCCTTCACAGGCACCAAGCAGACAGACAGTGTGCACAGACAAGCAAAAGGACCCGGGGACACACAAAAGACAATAAAATAGAAATTTTTAAAAATTTGATTTTAAGTCTCTAAAAAATGATGCCATGTGGAAATAGTCTTCTTATTCTGCTAATATTTTAATATGCCAGTAGTGGTGGCTCATACCTGTAATCCCAGCACTCAGGAGGCAAAAGCAGGGTGATCACCATGACTTTGAAAGCCAGCTTGCTCTACATACAGAACCCTAGGCCAGCCAGGTCTACATAATGAGACCCTCCCCTCCTTAACTTCAAAAAGAGCAAATCTTTTCACTGATCTTTAGGGACTAGTTTTGTTGTTTTAGTTGAGTACATCGTCTATGACCTAAGTGGCAACATGAAGAGAGCCCTGAAAGAACTCGGCTGGACTCCTCTCCCCTCCACTGGGGGATTTCTCACCATGAAGAGTTTGTGTCCTAGGGTTGGGGGTGGAAGGCTAGACGGGGAGCACATTTCTCTCCTGGTCCTGGCACTAAGGCCAGAACAGGAGGCTGGAGGTCCGGGAGCTTGACTTATAACCGGAACAGGAAATAGGTCCTAACTACCTAATAGTATATAATAGTTCCTGGCATAGGAGCTGGGGAAAATAAGAAAGGCCGTTGTTCCTACTTTGGTCACTCCACTCAGGTGTGGCTAGTGTCTTCCTTCACACACAGCTGAACCTCTTAGACCCCATCCCTACCCTTAGTTGCCCTTTTGCCATTCCTACCTAGCCGGCCTGGGATGGTGGCTGAAACATTAAAGGCAGATGTGCAAGGCTATACTTAACTCCTAGATCCTGTACTGTACCCCAATACCAGCCCAGAAGCCACGCCTTCCATGGGGAGAACAAATTTGAAAAAGTTTCCAACTGCCCACTTGGTCCTTACCAACTCATTCCAGGAAAACAGACTTGGCTGGAAGGTGTTCAGATCATTAGAAGGCGCTCATTGTAAACTAATAGCAAATTCAGCCTCTTCCACCTTCAAAGAAACACTAAATACGGTGCTATTAACACCAAATTAGCCAAGTCTTAAGTGGGTGTGAGCTTTTTCTCCCCTAACTGGGTTCTCTGGTGACAGGTCACAATTGCCTGCAGCAGAAACCCTTGATCTAAACGTTGATCCTCAGGGATTACCGGAGAGTATTGGGCTCACATCTAAACTGGGAGCCCCGGAAGCCCGCAGTTCCGCTCTGTAGCGCAAAGAGGCGCGTGCCCAAAGCGCCGCCTGTAGCGACCGCGGCCCGGGGTTGCGGACGGGGGGCTGCAAGATGAGAGGAGCCCGGGAGGAAGAATCTCTGTCTCCGCCACTCAAACAAACCCACGGCCTTAAACGAGTTAAGGAACTTCTCAACGTCCTGGTCTGTAAACGGGACAGGGAACGCAGATCTCACAGCACACTTGGAGCTCAGGCAGAGCTTCGCACGGTTCCTTACCGGTGACCGTGCGTGATGGTAAAACGTCGAGGGGTCCTTTCGAGGCCACCCTAGGGGGTGGCTACTCCCTCTGGGGCTGTGAACCTCCAAACCCTGTCCCAGGAGGCAGAATCCTGGAGAACAGGATCTTCGTGTCAGAGGAAGCAGAGGGTATGCGTGGGGCATGGGGTTAACCCAACTCCCTGAGTCACCCTAAGAAGCCGGGCGGGCAGAATTAGCTGGTCCAGCCTCAGCCCCAACCACAAGAGCCCCGCCCTCGGTCCCGCCCTCCCGGAACCGGCGCCCCCATTGGTGGCGTCCGGCGGCGCTGCCGCTGTTATTTTTCGAATATATAAGGAGGTGGAGGTGGCAGCTGCCCAGCTCAGCGTCTTTCCCTCCCTTCCTCCCCACATCCCTCTCCTCACTCCCAGGCCCATTGCTCTTCCTCCCTTCCTTCCCTCCCTCCTTCCCCTCACCCCAGGCTTGTTCTCGGAGCCGAGCCAGCTGGATTGGTGTCTGCTCGCCCTCGTGCTTGTGGCCCTGTAGCTAGCCTTTGCCCACTCCACAACGATGGAGGTGCACCCGCAGAAGTCTGCGCCGGGCTCTGCTCTCATTCCTGACCTCGTGCTCGGTGGCGTTCAGAGGCCGCGCCACCTCTCAGGCTTCGGGTTGGAGTCTGATGGCTTCCTGGGGTCTCCGGAACGCGCGGCTTCCTCCTCTCCGGTTACCAGTCTTACCAAGACCATGCACGACCTCGCGGGACTCGGCAGGGATGACAGACACCCCAAGGGCACTGGCCTCTACAGGTAGGATGCTGGGTGTGGTGGGATGGGGAACCCCAACTAGAGGGAACTAGGCACCGGAGCCTAGGAATACTGAGCACGAACGCCTTTGCCCCTGCTTCAGGGACCTGGCACAAGGGTGCTGAGTCAGAAGTGCCACTTACATCCTCCAGGTGACCAGCTAAAGATCATTCACCCCCCTGCTCCCTCACTGTGCCTATGGCACACTACCTCCCTAATTTCTGCCTTAGGCAGGGGATCATTGAGGTTGGAATAGGAGTGGGTCATACAATGCCTTGCCCCTGATCTTTGCACCCTGCATCTCTCCAACTCCCCTAAGGCTTAAACTTACTGAAGACTGACTGACCTCCCTAAAGGTGCCTGTAGGATCCTAAGCTGGGTAGTCCGGCTGCAATAGAGACCCAGGTCTTGGTCTTTGCCTCCAGGAAAATGCGTGGATAGATGGAGATGTGAAGAGCCGGGGAAGGTTCTACAGAACTTCTCTGCTGCCTCCTGCCCACCCTCCTTCCTCATTCTTCTCCCTCTTTGGGCCCATTAGGAGGGTCTTTCTTGAATCTGTAGATCCAGAGAAGACCCTCTAGGGCTTCCATAGAATAAAGAGCTTTGACCTGAGATACAGAATAATTCTAGGATGTGATCATTTCTCAGTAATGTGTGGGTCTTTCATAGCTAGGGAATACATAGGAACAAGGACCAACCAGCTTCTAAACCAAGCATTCATCTCCTCTTCTGTGCCTTCCCAGTGAGACCCCAAAGACTCAAGTAGGAAGTCTGTCATTCCAGAACAGGCTGGTGGACCTATCTCTATCCAGGCGTACCTCCATGTCATCCGAGTCCTCAGAATCTTCTGATGCAGGTAAGGTCCAGGGTCCGAGGTGAGGTCCTCTAGTGTCAGAAGAGATCAGGGAACTGCCTGGACCTCCTAACTTCTCGGCTCATCAGATAAACATCCTTTCCACGGCTGGGTGGGCCCAGAATTGTCTCCTATCTTGCCTTCAAAGCTGAAAAGAAAACACACCTCTGGTGGTTCTTACCACACCCAACCTTAACTGGGGAGTGTGGGGAAGTCTGTCCCTTGGTAGGAAATGCTATCTTACCTATTTGAAACCTAGTGATGAAGCCACTAAACCACAGCTCCACCCAGAAGGCACATACTACCACCAAAAGTTGGTCCTTGTGAAACATTAAAAAAAGTGTGTCACTTTTCTCCTTAGAAAATCACTATCTTTTCCAAGTCATTTTAAACCATCTTACAAAAAATGCTTAGAAAGCATTGTCATAAAAAAAAAAAAACTGTGTAGAGGCAGGGTGGTGGTGGTTCATGCCTTTAATCCCAGCACTTGGGAAGCTCACTCTGTGAGTTCAAGGCCAGCCTGGTCTACCAAGTGAATTTCAGGACAGCTAGGGCTGTTACACAGAGAAACCCTGTCTCAAAAACCAAAAAATAGAGCAACTGTGTAGAGATGGTTCCATAGTAAATAGATAATGTTTCCCTGGCTGCTTTGGGGGCCAGTATCCCGTGCTCAGGGTCCATGAGTAGGTTTTGTTTCATTTTTAAAAAGTATGTATGTCTTGATCTCAAATTGAAAGAGGTTGGGAAAAGGTAAGCATGGAAGGCTTCTACTTGCAAGCCAAGGTGCTCTGTCCCACCAGGTCTCTGCATGGATTCCCCCAGCCCTATGGACCCACAGAAGGCAGAGCATTCGTGAGTAGAGAAGGGAGGATTCCCTCTGAGGAGTTGGCACCTGCTCTTTGGAATCATTTTTTCTTTCTTTTTTTAAGATTTACTTTTAATTATGTGTTTATGTATTGTGTGTTTCTCTACATGGGGATATGTGCATGTGAGAGTTTGGGCCTGGAGAGGCCAGAAGAGGGCTTTGGATCCCTTCAAGTTGGGGTTTTAGGTTGTTATGAGTTGCTCTATGTGAGTGCTAGATACTGAACTCAGGTCCTCTGCAAAAGTGACAAGTGTTCTTAGTCACTAAGCCATCTCTCCAGCCCCCAGGATTGTGCATTCTTATAGGGAAATCAAAAAGTAGGCAGATCCCTCAGGGCTTGGTCCCCAAGCCTTGAGAACTGGCTTTCTGTTCAGAGAAGGGCCCACTATCATAGAGAAACTCTCGTCATAGGGACAATAGCCTCTGGGAAAGTGTACTCTGATACTTGGCTCCAGCTTGCTTTGTCATTCAGAAGTACAAACCTAATGTCCCATTTTTCTTTTTTGTCTGTACACATTTTTATTCATGTGAAATGTTTTTCCAACTTAAAAATATGGTCCTGCTGGGTGTGTTGGTCCATATCTGTAATCCCAATACTCAGGAAGCTAAGAAAGGAAGATAGGGAGTTCAGGCCAATTTAGGCAGCACAGTAAGGCCACACACATCTCAAAACATAGACCAAACAAGAGTAGTGTCTGCATACTGGTTTGAGTGGCTTGGCCCATCCGCAGTTCCTGGCTTTGACACTTGACTCTCCAGGCCAACCTCTGACCAGGCCCTTTGCAATAGGGAGTTGGGAGAGAGAGCTGGTCTTTGCTCTGGCCACATACCACTTCCTTGCTTGCCTATAGGCACAAATTGTGCCTTCTAGAGCACACCTGTTCCCATCCAGCTGCTGGAGTAGCTGTCAGGCATTAGGAGCAACAGCTGAGCACTGCCAGCTAGAGCTTTTGGTTTAGGGTGGCAGTTAGTTACTGTTTCCTCCTGATGCCTTTGATCAGACTGTGCTAAGCTCAGGGTTTACTCACAAACAGGAAACCAGAATTGGGTGGGGATTGGAGGAGTGTAGATTGGTTTTTAGTGACAACGCAGATCTCTCACCCCTAAGGCCCAGCTACAAATGATACCAGGTTGATTGAGGGGCCTGCACTTGCTTTTGATTATTTAGTTTCTCAGAAAGAAGTGTGTGTGTGTGTGTGTGTGTGTGTGTGTGTGTGTGTGTGTGTGTGTAAAAGCGTGCTGTGCTCCACTGGATAGGTGGTCCAGCAACATTGTGTAAGGCAGGGCTGTATGCAGAGGCCAATGCCTCAGCCTCAAAAGGAACATCTGTTGGAATTCCTTGCTGGCTGGCCTCTTCTAAGACAGAGGGGGTGGAAAAGGGGTTGGTTCTTAGAAAAATTCCATAGGAGGGAGGAGAGTATGTAACCCGTATACTTGTCACTAAGAGTTTCTTCTGGGCTGATCCAGAAAAACACTGAAGTAAGGGCCCCCTGTTCTGGAGAGAGCCAGGCCAGTTTCTCCTAGTGGAAAGGGAAAACCAGCCTTGCTGGCATCCACCCCAGAGTCACCCACATTACAGGGTGCCTTCAGCCTATTGTCGTGGTATGGATCAATGCCTTTCATGGTGGCCATATGGCCCCACAAATGTAATTTGCATACAGGTGGAAGGCCTGTGCTAGCTGGTGCAGGCTGGCGAGACTGTTGCCTTGGTGATGTCTTAATGACCCTGTGACCTGCCCCAGCTGTCTCCATCACTGCCTTTCTTTAGGCCTGCTTCCATTCAAGGCAGCCTTTAAAATCCCAGGCTGCCTCAAATCCTTCATCCATGATACCTGGTCCCACCAATGATGGGCTTTTTTCCCTCTGTCTCCTTCCCCTAGCCTGACCACAGGCCCTTGTTCTTGTTCTCATTGTTGCCCTTTGGGGATGGGCCTGGCTGGTGCCTGGTGCTTGAGGTAGATGTTGGGCTACAGAGAAAATGGGTCATTTCTCTCTCCTAGGTTTGAACAGGCCATTCAGGCAGCCAGTCGGGTCATTCAAAAGTGAGTGCTTTCCTCCCTTCTCTACTTCCCGCTGTCTCCTGAGATGTAGATGGCTTGGGTGCAAGGAAATCCTGCCTGCTTTAAGTCACTCACCCCCATTTTCCCAGCTCTGACTGTCATTCTTTCTTTTGCAGTGAGCAGTTTACCATAAAACGCTTCCGATCCTTGCCAGTGAGTGTCCTCCAAGGCCTGACAGGGAGCTCAGGCATCCTAGCTAGCATGGACACCCTGGGGGCACCTCTTGGAGGATGTCCTTGAAGTAGCCAGGCATCCCTGGACTGGTTGGGGGAGATGGGGTTTCATTTGGTGGCTAAGTGGCCTGGGGAGTTGGAACAGGGAGGGTAGCAGAAGGTAGAGAGGGCCTGGGTAATAACAGGAGTGCAGCCAGTAACTTCAGTCTGACTTCTAGGTAAGGCTGCTGGACCACAGCCCTGTGCTACAGAACATCACCAACTCCCAAGCACTGGACAGCCGGAAGAAACATGAAGCAGGCTACAGAGCTGCCAACAGCCTTGGGGAGGACAAAGAGAATGTACGCTTCCAGAGACAAGGATGGAAGAGGTCCAAGGAGAGAAGGGTGCACTGGGGTTATCTGATGTTTCCTCTCTAATCTTGCCCACAGGATGGATATGTCTTCAAGATGCCATGGGAGTCCACTCGTCCCAACCCTGCCCAAGCTCTGGTTGAGTGGGCCAGTCGCAGAGAGGCCTTTGCCCAGAGGCCAAGCTCAGCCCCTGACTTAATGGTACATGAGGAGAACTGGTTCCCTGTAGGGTCCTCAAGAAACAGCACAGGGGAGAGGTGGTGGCTGGAGAGATGATGCAGTGGTTAAGAGCACTGGTTGCTTTTTCAGAGGACCTGGTTTAATTCCCAGCACACCCACGACAGCTCTATAATTCTATAATTCCAGTCCCAGAGGACCTGATATCTTCTTCTGGCCTCTGTGGACACTGCTAGCACATGGTGCACAGACATATGTGTAGGCAAAACACCATATCCACAAATAAAGGTTAAAAAAATTAAAGGTAAATAAAAGCTAAAAAATTTTAAAGAGACAGTAAGAGAAGAAAAGAATGGTCCAGACTTCCCCACTCTCATCCCCAGGTCCTAGAGACTTATGCTCAGAAGGGCTGGCAGATTCCCACTTCTGAGTAGTCTGTGCTTGTCATTTGGACAGTGTCTTACCCCTGAACGGAAGATGGAAGTAGAGGAGCTGAGCCCTATGGCCCAGTCTTCCTCTTCCTTGACTCCTGTTGAAAGGGCATCTGAAGATGATGATGGATTTGTGGACATCCTGGAGAGTGATTTGAAGGTAAACAGCCTTGGCCCACAAAGCCCCTACTTGCTCCCCATTCAGCTAGCCCAGGAAAGGAGAGCTTTGACTTCATCAAGACTACAACCTCACCCCAATGTCAGAAGAATTTGAGGGAACTAAGTAACAGCCTGATATTGCCAGTCAGAGACGACCAGGTGGGCTGGTGCTACAGAGGAATGGAGGCTTGGCATGATGAAGGTACTTCTCCTGGCTCAGGGCATGCCCCAGCAGCAGGTGGGTCCCTACAGCTTTTTAGGTTTGGGGCTGCCACCATAGATGGAGGAGTCAGCAGGGCTGCAGACAGCCCAGCGTTTCTGGGGGCGTAGGCAAGGGAAGACTTGGTGAGGTTCATCCAGTGCTTGCGTTTGTGATTGTGTCCTTGCTGATTTGACCTCAGGATGATGACGTGGTCCCCCCAGGCATGGAGAACCTCTTTAGTGCCCCACTTGTCAAAAACCTGGATAAGGAAGAGTCACAGGTGAGACTCGGTAGTGCCCCCGCCTCAGAGCCTAGGGATGTGGGGTTGAGGGACTGATCATTCTAACTCCCGCCATGTTACCCTGGCCAGGATCTCATCATGTTCAGCAAGTGCCAGCGGCTCTACCGATCTCCATCCATGCCGTGCAGTGTGATCCGGCCCATCCTCAAGAGGCTAGAACGGCCCCAGGACAAGGACACACCTGTCCAGAGCAAGCGCAGGAAGAGTGTGACACCCCTGGAAGAGCAACAGCCTGAAGAACCTGTTAGTTTCTTCCTCCTGGGGCTGGGTTGTCACTGCTCACTTGGCTGGGGATGTTTGTGGGCTGAAGATGGTCTGGGGTGTGCTCTCTTGGCCAAATGTATAGCAAGGGGTAGTGTACAGGTACTTGTTTATGTGGCAGGGAAAGAGGGCCTCAGACGAATGGCACTGAGAGGCAGTCTGATCCTGACCTGGCCTCTATCTGCCTTGCCTTCCAGAAGGCCCGTGTCTTCCGCTCAAAGTCCCTGTGTCATGAGATTGAAAGCATCCTGGACAGTGACCACCGTGGACTGATTGGAGATTACTCTAAGGTAGCGTCACAGGACTCAGGACTTTTATTATCTGCTCTGGACCCATAGTGCAGGAGCTCTCTGTCCCCAGAGGGCCCCCTTTCTCTCTTGTATCTTTTCATTCTTGTTCTCATGCAGATCCTTCCCTCTGGCTCCCCTTCTCCTGGTGCCACCTCAAATCTGTCCAGGCATCTGACATATCTCAGCCTTGAAAACATTTCCAAATGAGTCTCTGGAATGCAATCTCCTGCCTTACCCCTTGGCTTCCAAATCCAAGAGCAGGAAGTCAGGAGTCCCAGGGCTTCTCCTTTCTGTTTTTAACCCTCTGAAGGTTGTTCCCTGGGTATGGGCCGGGCCCCCAGATGTTGCACTCAAAGGTGAATCTGAAGGTTGAAGCAGGTGTTGTCTCTGTCTTTTCCAGCCTTCTTGTCTCACTTTCTCAGAGTGACTCATCCTTCCCTTGCAGGCTTTCCTCCTGCAGACTGTGGATGGCAAACACCAAGACCTCAAGTACATCTCACCAGAAACTGTAAGCAGGGTTGAGCCACTCTTCAGGTGCATTGGGGACCACCTTTTTTTGACTCTTGTCCTCCCCTGTGGATGGGCTGCATGCACAGACCATCACAAGTGTGAGGGAAAACCTTGGCTACCCGTCTCACCAGCTGGCACCAACCCTATGGCCTCCTGCAGATGGTGGCCCTGTTGACAGGCAAGTTCAGCAACATGGTGGAGAAATTTGTAATTGTGGACTGCAGATACCCCTATGAGTATGAAGGTGGACATATCAAGGTGAGATGCTGCTCGGAAGGCCAGACCCTCCATGCAGATTCCTTGCCAAGAGGATGAATAAGCTTTTGTGGAGTATGTCTCATGGGGAGGGTTCCTCCCAGCAAGAGGTGGAGTTACTTTCCTGGGAACTGAGAGAAGGGACCAGGTGCAGGCTATGGCTTGACCCCCAGATGCTCTGACAGAATGCTGTGAACTTGCCTCTGGAACGGGATGTCGAGACCTTCTTGCTGCAGCGCCCCATCAAGCCTTGTAGCCTGGACAAGAGAATCATCCTTATTTTCCACTGTGAATTCTCATCTGAGCGTGGGCCCCGCATGTGAGTCCTAGCACTGTCCTAGTGCCCACCTTTGCCCAGAACTGAGTGCTAGAGCCTCTTGCTGCCGCTGATACTTTAGAAATTACCTTGCTCTCCTGCCACAGACAGCATGTCTTCCCATTGCCTTCTTTCCAACCACCTCATCACACCATCCTTCAAACATTACTGTACCCCAACAAAAACTGATGCCAAATCTAGCAGTGTCCTTAAAATCTGAGGACCCTGTTCTAAGCCACATTCTCAGTGACACTCAGGCATTTGGTATCCTGTTCCCATGCTGGTAACCACTGGGGCCCTCAGCCTTCTTCACCTGTCTCTCCTTTGTTCCTCCATGAGTGATCTTTTCTGCTTACTCCCTTGCCTCCTGGTCCAGGGTGGCCACCAGCTCCATCTGGTAGCTTCTTAGTGGGCTGGAATCTGTGTCTCCCGTTCTCTATACAGGGGCCTCCTGTCTGCTGCATTCCCCTGTGCTCTGGGGTTCCAGCACGTGGCCCCTGCTGGGCAATGGACCAGTCTCTGTGCTTTGCTGTTTGATCCTTCTGTGCTCCTTCCCTTTCTTCCCTGGAGTCCTTACCACATCTGGTCCAGGAGACTCTGGAGCATGTGTGTTTTTTTCCTGTGTTGCTGTACTAGTGTCCGAGCCAGGTCATCACATATACCAGGGAATCACTCTACCAGGGAGGGTTACTCCCAGGCCTCCCTTTACTTTTTATTTAGATTTTTTTACTTTTTTAATGTGTGTGTATGTGTATAGAGAGAGAAAGAGAGAGAGAGTGCCTTTGTATGGTATATATATACATATATATATGTATATATATATGGCCATAGTAGGGCATTACACATGCTGCTGTATACTCTCTGCCTTATTCCTTGAGACAGGATTTCTCACTGAACTTTGGACTTGGTGGCCTTCAGTCTAACTCCAACTGATCCTCCTGTTTTTACCCCACACACCTCCAATGCTGAGGTTACAGACCTTTTGTTGTTCAGGGGATTTGAACTCAGGTCCTCAGGTTTATATTTACTCAGCAGGTGCTCTTACCTACTGAGTCACATCCCAGCCCTATCTTTTATTTTGAGACAGGGTATTCCTCAAATGTCCAGGCTGGCCTTGAGCTCTTTTTGTAGGTCTGGCAGGTTTTGAAACTGCAATCCCTCAGAATCCTATGTATCTAAGATTACAGGCTTCTGTCACCAGGTCAGGCTCTGAGTGGGCCTTGTATTGTGTTCTCTGGTCACCTTTCTTGCTCCCTCTTTCCTGGTACATGTCATAGAATGCTCTAACCAAGGTTATGTGAATGCCTTCCAGAAACAGTGGCCACTCCTGATTTACCTCTGTCTTCACCCCATTGCCGCCTACCCATAACCAGTCTAACCTCGTAGATGGCGTTCCTGTGCTCTGAAGCCTGTGCCCTTGGAGACCCCCCCAAAGCAGCATGTACAAGGCATAGGTCTCACTGTGATATGTCTCCTGCCCTGAACCCCTTTCCATGCTGCTCCAGGTGCCGGTTCGTCAGGGAACGGGACCGTGCAGCTAATGACTACCCCAGCCTATACTACCCTGAGATGTATATCCTCAAAGGCGGCTACAAGGAATTCTTCCCACAGCATCCGGTACAGCTCTCCTGAGATAGACTGTAGGGACAGGGCTCAGCTGGGCGGTAGGCAAAAAAAAAAAAAAAAAAAAAGAGAAAAGGCTTTCCCCGCCACACACAGCCTACTGTTTTCTCCCATACTGATGAGCTCTTCATCTTCTCATCCTCTTTTAGAACTTTTGTGAGCCCCAGAACTACAGACCCATGAACCACAAGGCCTTCAGGGATGAGCTGAGGACCTTCCGCCTCAAGACACGCAGCTGGGCTGGGGAGCGGAGCCGGAGGGAACTCTGTAGCCGGCTGCAAGACCAGTGATGCATCCTGCTGCTATCCTTACCTCGTGGGGCCTGGTAGCCAGTGGGTTCCATGGGCCTATGAGGCCACCTACTTGCTAGAGGCCTCAGGTGCTATTGGGTGTTGGGGGATGGTGTAGTGTCACGTCTTGTCTGTCCCTGTCCTTGATTCTCCTGTCTTACTCCACTAATTTTTCCATATCCTGGTGCCAGCTCCATCTTGAAGAGCCCAGCCTGATGGGTGGATACCAGCTAGGAGGAAGTGCTTTGTGTTCATGGGAGCCTTTTATAGTCTTTTTTTCCTTGTTTGTATTAACTCTTTGTCTTCCTGTGTTCAGAAAGCCCCCTTTGTGGGGAGAGCCTCAGCCCTTTTAGGATGAGCCCACTAGCTCCTTGGGTGGTCTAGAAGCAGCATGCTACCCCTGCTTCTGCACAGGACTGTATTTGCTCTCCTCTCCTGGCCTTTGCACAGGCACTCCATTGAAAACATTAAGTGCTTCCCTTTTCCTGTTGTTGTCTTACCTGCAGCTCTTATTTTTGTTTGTCTGACTTAGCCTGTTTCGGGACACACTGACAGCTGGGTAGGCTCCCTCATACATCTGGGGGTTGGAGATTCAAATATCGCTTACTCAGTAGGCCTGGCTTTTGTTTGCCCAGAACGGGATCTTCTTCTTTAATGCCCCCAAGGCAAGGGCAAAGGCCTGATTCAGGAGCCTCTGGGAGTCCCCTCCCTGCTGCTGGCTGCTGTGAACCCCAGAGCCTCACTGGTCAGAGCCTGCTGCTGGGCAGGACAGACACTGAGCATCCCTTTTGACCCTTGTCTTCTTTCCTTTCCTCCCTTGAGTCCTTACCATGTCTGGCCCAGAAGGCCTCTTAGTGTATGTGTGGTTTCTTGTTTTGTTTTTTTCTGTGTTGTTGTACTAGTGACCGAGCCTGGGCCTGTTGTAGATGGACAGGAGGCTTAGTGGTCATGGATGATACACAGTGCCTTGCACACATGTATGCACACAAATGGGTGGAAGGATTTTGGTGAGAGTGATTGCCTATGGCAGGAGTGTATGTGTGTGTGTGTACAAAGTCTTTACACTTAGCATTTGGAAATATCAAAGGAACATTGTCATGGAAGCAGCTAAATAACAAAACCAAGCAACCGATGGGTTCAGAATCTACACATGGGAAAGTCATGCTGGAAGGCCCCTGTGAGTCCTCTTGTTAGGGCCTTGGTTCAATAAAGCACTGAGCAAGTTAAATAATCTGTTTGTTATGCAGAGCCTCTGACAAAACCACAGCAGACCCCATGGTAGGATCTGGGTAAGGGCAGACCAGCAGAGGAGGGAAGGCTTTCTGGAGAGAAGGGACTAAATACCTCATGTTCTCCTCAGAAGTTTCTCATGCTTTTGAAATGGAGGAGAGTGGTCCTCTTACTTTCACTTAAGTATCCAAGCTCTCCTGAGCTCACCCTTCTTCAAGCCTGAAGTGGTAGGTGACCTCATCGCACCTCGAAGAATTATCAGTAGTTCCCTTTGTCCTCAGGCTGAACTGCAAGGATTCCTGCCATAGTCCTTGGGATTTAGGTCTTCTTAGCTTCATCCCCTCAGAAGAGCAAAAAACAGTCTTTGGTTGGTGGTGGCACACGCCTTAAATCCCAGCACTCAGGAGGCAGAGGCAGGCAGGTCTCAGTGAGTTTTAGGCTAGCCTGGTCTACAAAGTGAGTTCCAGGACTGTTATACAGAGAAACCCTGCTTGGAAAAACAAACAAACAAACAAAAACAGTCAATGTGAATGAACCAAATCTCTCATGAAAAAATTTATGAAACAGGGTCTCATGTAATCCTGGTTAGCCTGGAACTTATGATGTAGACAAGACTGGCTTCAAACTCATAGAGATCTGCCTGCCTTTGCCTCCTGAATGCTGTAATTAAAGGTGTGTGTTAGCATGCCCTGCACTGGAAAATCCTTTTTTGAATACCTGTACAAATGACCCATAAATATGAACTCTTTGATTGTAGGTTCTTTTGAGAGTGCACACACATGGGCATAGCTCAGTGGTAGAACATTGCTTGGCTGCATGAGGCCGTGGGGTTGGTTCACAGTAGTCTGGGGGAGGGTATGAGGTAGTAATCCAGAATGTACACACTTATCAGGTATGGGTCTCACTTTCCGTAGGGTTTGTTGTGAAGTAGGTAGAGCATCGATTATCTTCCCCATTTTGCAGTTACCCTTGGTTCAGAGTGCCCTGAAGGGCACAGAAAGTGGGCTGTGCTGGGTTGTAGCTTTGATAGTCTAGGTGCTAGACTTTGTGGATGGAGGGAGGGTCATGAAAGAGTCCCCACTAAACAGACAACTGCTATCAAGACAAGCATCTGTCTGGGTAAGGATAACACCTGAGAAGAAGGCACATAAATACATATCTATAAGAAAGTAGGTAAGGGACAGGAAGCTCTTGCCCACTCTGAGCCCAGGTGGTCTGGTGCCACAGGAAAGAAAAGTGTATTCACTTGCCCTGAGGACACAACAGACAAAAACAGAGACATTCCATGCTACCCAAGACACACCATTCACCCTCACCTTAATCTGAGAGAAGTCAGAGTGGCAGTTAGGGCCAGGCTGCCTTGCTTCTGCTATCATCTGTCCATATTGTCCACGGACAGGCGGGAACTTGTAATGACCAGGCCTCATGCAACCTAGCGATGTTCCTGTGTTGTGTGACAAGTCTTTTTCCTGAGGAGATGAAACACACTTATTGTCCTACTTAGGGTTTCTATTGTTGCACTGAAACATGGCCAAAGCAACTTGGGCAGGGGTTGTTTATTTGGTTTATAATTACACTGCACTGTTTACTATCAAAGGAAGTTGGGACAGGAACTCAAATAGGGCAGGAACTGGGAGGCAGGCACCAATGCAGAAGCCATGGAGGTGTGCTGCTTACTGGCTTACTCCTCCTGGCTTGTTCAGCCTGCTTTCTTATAGAACCCTGGAGCACCAGCCCAGTGGTGGTACAACCCACAATGGGCTGGGTCCTCCCCCATCAATCACTAATTAAGAAAATGCCCTATAGCTGGATCTCAGGGAGGCATTTTCTCCATTAAGGTTCCCTCCTTTCAGATGACTCTGATTTGTGTCAAGCTGACATAAAATTAGCCAGAACACTCATCTATTCACCCCAGATAGAAAACCCACAAAAAACAAATGTACATATACTACCAAAGGCCAACTTGGTGAAACAATGAGTTTTATTGAGGTTATTTACAGGAGCAGAAATGACTTAGACAAATGAATCACCAAGGCTCATTTGAGCATGGGTGACAATTCAGAAAGCTATGAAACCTGGAGTATACTGCACACCCTGCCTACAGTACAACAAGTTGGAGAGTGTCCTTTCTAGTTTCTTCCAGGCAGCTCTTCTTGCCTGAGAATCTTCTATGCAGATTTAATCCCCTCAGAATCTTCTTTTCATCTCAACATCACTTCCTCTGAGACTCTCAGCTTTTACATTTTAACTCTGGCAGAGAGGGGCCTAGTGAATCTGCTCACTGTCAGGGACTTCTGAAGCTATTTTGACTTGTAACTTACCTTCCTGCTTAAGGAGCTTCCCTGCAGGATGGAATGTTTCCATCTCAGAGGAAACTTACACAACACCCTGGTCAGATGGACCACTTAAGCCATAGTCACAGCTGTGATCATGGGGCACTTCAGTGTGTTACTCAGCCTCCAGCAGCAGACATTCAGCTCTTTTTGTCCAAGAGCTGAGAGGTGGTGGGGGATGCAGAAGGCACTGATAAAGACTGGACATAGATGTCCTGCCCAAGAGAAGTCTTGTCATCCATCCCAAGGAAGACAGGGGTCCTAAGCAGCTATGGGGTTGCCTCTCGGCTTCTACTTTAGCTCAGAATGCACCCTGCCTTGGAAAGGAGAGGTGGGAGCACAGGTGCTTACCTTCTCCTCCCTAGGCAAGCTACTATGTTCCTATGAGCCATGGGGCAGGAGATGATGTTTTAAACTCCTGGGATGCCAGCCAACCCTGGTGGTTTTGCTGGGATCAGGGCAAGTCTGGAGTTCCAGCTTTCGGGGAGCCTGGCAGCAGCCATCACTGTGCTGCTAAGTGCTGTCTGTAGTGGCCTGGCTGAGGTGGGGCCTAGGATCTGGACGGCATCAGGGAGAACCTTCATGTGCTTCATGGACTCCGTGAACTGCTTAGTGACTCAGTAATAATTTTGATTTGTTTTATTGTTGTTTTCAACAGGGTCTCATTCTGCAGCCCTGACTGACCTAGTACTCATTATGTAGGTCAGAATGGTCTCTGACTCTCAGAGAGCCTCCTGAGCATTGGGATTAAGGGTGTTTATCACCACACTTGGCTCAATAACTGTGGTTTTTGTTTGGTTTGGTTTGGTTTATCCTCCACCCCACCCCACCCCGGCCCCGAGCGCCGGACAGGGTTTCTCTGTATTGCTTTGGAGGTTGTCCTTGTCCTGGAACTCACTCTGTAGACCAGGTTGGCCTCAAACTCACAGAGATCCACCTGTCTCTGCCTCCTGAGTGCTGGGATTAAAGCATGCACTACCAATCCCTGGCCAAGACAGGGTTTATCTCTGTAGCCCTGGCTGTCCTGGAACTCTTTCTGTAGACTAGGCTGGCCTCAATCTCACAGAGATCTGCCTGCCTCTGCTTCCCCAAGTGTAAGGACAAAAGGAACTTGAGTTTTGTGTCCTTGCTCTGGAGTGGACTTGGCAAGGCTGGTCTAGGGGTGGAGCCAGTGCCTCTTTAGGAATCAAGGTTGCAGTTTCTGGGGACCTGACTCTTCCCCCTGTTGTTATCAGTCCTAAAGCAGCTGTGCCTGAGGTATCTCTTGTTCTCTTTGTCAACATTGTCTGATTTAGCTCTCTGCTGACCTTGGCCATTCCCATCACCACCTCCACCCCTGCAAATAGTTTATAAGATGCTGTGCTTCTTCTAGGTGACTCTAAATCTCGTTAAGCTAATGATTGAGGTCACTCACCAGAGGCAGCCAAATCAAATCAA